CGATCATTCATTTTTTTCGGAAAGAAGGGGAAATGGATATATACTTATATGGCTGCACTGTAGGGCTGGAAGTGCACATTATATTCATTCAACCAACGAGAATTTTCTTCTAATTAATTAGTGGATGCAAAAGGAGTTAAATCCATTAAATTAAAACGATAACATCTTTGTTTGGGGTATTGAGCTAGATAGGTGATTTTTATTTTTTTTATATAGTTAGCAAGGAAGTAGAAAAGAATTAATAAAGAGTTAACCACTGAGATTCCAAATTGCAATTTGAATGTGGTATGACAGATAAAGGAGAATTTCTAAAATATGTATAAAAGTAACATCTTTCATTTAATTTAGCCCTTTCATGCTTATTATAACTAGTTAAGTTTTAATTGATCTAACACCTTTAAAAATTTTAGCACTAAATATTAATTATTATACTTTTAAGATTATGGGTTCAAATTTACACTATAAAAAAAATGAAATTAGTTATAAACTTCGTTGCTACTCTGTCGCTCAACCGCTTGTAGCTAACAAAATTTTTTAATAGTTTATTGCTACAATTCGCCGCTAAATAAGATTAGCGACAGATTTTTCTATTTAGCTACCGAACTCCTCCGTCGCTAGTGATATAATATATATATATCAAAATTTTAGTAGTTTGTCATGTAAATATTGTCTCCGCATAGAAAATACTACCAAATTCGAATGAATACGCAACCAAGAGTTTTTTTGGGGGGTTCACCCGATGTTGAGTATTCGTATTGGGCCTGACTAAATTCGAATTCGCATCGAAAAATTCTATATTAGGGTAAAATGACATTTAACAAAAGCGACTCTATAGCTATGACTCGAGTCCGAGATCCTCTTATTAAGGAGTCGAGAGCTTCATCTGCGCATGGCAATGATGACAGAGATCTTTAGTAGGATAACTTTCTGTTGATTCAGTGACTAGAAACAATGTCACAGCTGGGTGTAGAAAATTATTGGTTCTAATATAGAATGTAAAAACCAAATATATAGAGACAGGCATGGACAGAAGAATGCATTATTATGCATATGGTGAGGAGAGAAGTGTATAATAAACATAAACAAATGCAAGCAAAAAAGAGAAGACTGAAGACTGAAGCAATTCCCAAAAAGGAAGAGAGAAATGAGAGTTTGTTTGACTACTGACAAAACCCTAAGCAAACTGCAGTAACAGTAGTAGTAGTAGTGCATCACTGCATTGTTTTATGGTCAGACTGCTACAGATGTTTCAGCCAGCGTTGAGTGCACGCGACAAACACGGGCGCTATATGAGTATCATATTAGGGTAAGAATTTCCATATTTACATAAAATCAGTCATGAATTAATAAAAATATGTACTAATTAATTATAATTAATGATAATAGTGTGTGTATATGTATGTATGTATGTATGTATTGGGTTAGGGTAAATTGCGGGTAATTTTTTACCTATCACCATATAAGTGTGATTTAACTTGCATATACTCATATAATGTAAAGTTTAATATGCGATTATTGTATTTTACATTTTGCAGCACGTTGTTTATCTTACTTTTCTCGTGATTAATTTTATTTATTGTCGACAACTACTTGTAAACAAGGGTAGAGCTAGTGTATGGTTTGTGAGTTCGGCAGAATGCACAGTAATTTTGCTCTAACCCTTGTATTTTTCTTAAGAATTTTCTTGTATAATATAATCTATTAATTTAAAACTCATTAATTTAAAATAACTAAAATTCTTAATTCATAAACTTCAAATTGCGACTGCGTATATGCTTGTAAATATCTTCTAAGTGATATATTAATATAAAATATTTTAAATTCTAACTTCGACTCTGCTTATAAATATCTTTTAATATTGTAATAATATAAAACACCTTTTATATGTTAGCATATAGAACTAAAACTCAGAAAGCTTATTCGTGCGATGTTCGACATCAAACCTATAAATATATTATGTGGATATTTATTGTAACAAGACATTTATTATAGTTAGTACAATATAATTTGGTGTATGAGAGTAAGTTTTTTAAAAAAAATTATATGTGTCCGTAGTGTAGATGGATGACGGTAGTAGTGCATCGATTCACGTGACTCACTGACTTGTTTCTTTTCATTTCTTTTCTCTTCTTTGGGTGTGTTTTGGAATATTTTACTCCATTTTTTTCTTTATTAAGTTGACAGATAGATAGACAGAAAAGAAAGGGAAGGGAAAAAGGAAAAGAAAACTGAAAGACATCTATCCTATCGAGGGAAACCATTAATGATAGATTGGATGTGTGCTTTCTCTTTTCTAATATTATAGTGTTTGTGGGTAGCACTACATTTACACTACCTTACCTTCAAACCCCTTAATCAACAACTCTCTACATTCACATTTTCCTTTTCTTGTTGATTAAACAAGAAAATGTGTGCACATATAGTTATAGTACTAGAGTTAATTCAGAGAGATGTACAAATATAGCTATTTAATTTAATGAACTAGAATAAAGAACTATCCAACGTAAAATGTTTCTTTTCCTAAACGTACATTGAATTATTGAAGATATAAGCTTTTGTCATTTTTAAAGCGTGGTCAATTAAATGGAAACGAATAGAAAAAGAACTGCCAAGGCTTATAGTTTAATGGTATCACTACATTTCACTTAAACAATAGTGGTGTATTCGAATCTTATTATTCCTTTCCTCCTCCCTCATACCCTATGTAATCAAAAAGTTTTTGGAAAAAATAAAGAGAAGAGAAAAGCTGAACCGATAAATTTGGAGTAAATGTCGAGATGAAGATACCAAAACATTGTAGTATAATAATAATTGGTACTTTTGTGTGAAAGTGTGTGTATTTATATTGGGGTTTGAGGAAATGTAATAAAGGACTAAGATTTTGTATTGGAATCTTAGGCAGAAACAGCGTAACGGGTACGTGCAGTTGACCCGTTACCCCAAAACTCACTCGTGACCCAACAACCAAAGCTTGCCTTCTTTCTTTGTTTCTTCTTTAATTTGCACTGTAATTGGCACACATTGTTTTCTGCACTTTTTGCAACCTTCGAAGTTGGCTCTTCCTCGTTTTCCAATCTGAAAAAGGAATTTTAAAAAATAAAAGTTGTCCGGATTTAGTGTTTACTTTTTCATAATCAGTATTATACTAATTATACACAGTTATACACAATTTATATATGAATTGTACATATATTATATATCCGTCGGCTATTTTTAGTTTAAGTGGTTGGTGAACTACTGCTTAGGTTAATTTTTCATTATTTATTTAAAAAGTGTTTGCTCCCGTAACACTAATGCATAGACCTATGATATAGTTCTCAATCTTTTTTTAAAAAAAAAAATAGTAAGCATAGACGTGATACAACCAACTTAGAGGATTTTGATTAAACCACTTATAACACAGATTAATGTCCAGAAGTTGTATATATGCCAATGTCTGTAAGGAACTCGCGCGACCAATAAAAGCAACTTTCCCTCTATCAAACACACACTGCCAAAAGTCCTAACCTTTTTCTTTCGTATGGTTCGTGCATAAACAGTAGTCTTAAGTCTGAAGCTCCTCTCTAAAACAGTGTAGAAGTACAATTTAGAATATGACCTTGCAATTAAAAATCATGTGGAGAAGCTGATGCCATTATTTTACTACTATGGTCCACCACAAGCAGCGTACCACGATGCCAGCTTAATTTTTAACTGTTGCATATCAATGTCAGTTTTATTCATTTTCAGAACTAAATGAGGCCATGTTTTGAAAGTAGAGTTTCAATTTTAAAAACTTCACAAAATTTACTGTAAGTTCGAACTACTTGTCATGTACTCGATTTTTTCAGACAACAATTGAAGAACTGAGTTGATGGTCTAGCTAATTGTCTCAAGGGTTATACTTATCTTGATACAAGAACATATGGCTCAAAAATATTTCACAGCATTGGGAGGGATAAGATTCGAAGCACCATTCAAAGACAACTACAAGCATGTTCCCTGATAAATAGAAAACCAATTCAAAGTAAATCCATTTTCAATAATATAAAATCAATGGGGGGTAGAAACCAAGTTCGAGACAGTTTTAGTCCCAAAGGCATTGGTCTCTAACTAGAAAAGTAAATGCTTGAGCTTGAGTGAGAAGAGCTCCTCGCTTATTGACTTGAACCACTAACCTTTAAATAAATCTACAGGACATCCTGGGCTGTCAAAAGGATTCTGGGGCGAAATATCCATGCTTCCTAACATGTTCTTAATATATTTGAGTGTTTTTCACTTCTTTGGATATCTATATCCTTGACGACAAATCACTATTCAAGATGGATAACTGCCTTTCGAAATAATGTTAGTCTCTGGCACTTAGAGCTTCGTTATCACATAGGAGCTGCTCTCTAGTCTGAGAATTCAAATTTGCTAATGAAATCTATGCAATAAGCAGTGGAAATTTGAATAAATAAATCATCTAGATTACTTCCAAACATGTTATAACAAACATAATGCTTAAGAAGACAGCAAAGAAAGAAACTGCAGCTACTGTTCAATGTTCATCTTTGATGCTGTACGTACAGCATAAATGACATCGCTGACACAGAACAGATGCACTAGGAATTNTGTTTAGATATCTTAGGCATAAATGTTTTTCAATTCTCACCTGGATGGCAAGGTAACAACTGCTTTCAGATTACCTGAAACGTACCTGTGCATGGTACTTATCACAAAGGAGTCATCTCTGATCTATGCACTTCACCAAATAGATAGAGATCGAAAATTCGGGCAACTCAAGCCCCAGGAGAAGTATAAAAAGTTCCAGCATCAGTGGACGTGTTAATCTCAACAGTCTTGCAGCGAGATAAATAGAGAGTTATACAAGGATGTCACATCCGCAAAACTGATGGAAATTATTGGCCTTAGAGATGGGAGGGATGGGGTAAAAAGTTGCTGCAGCATGAAATAACCCACCATAGAATCTCACATACGTCCAACTTAACAAATCCATACAGAAACTTGAAAGATCCTACTTCACTTTAAATGAGTACTTCTCAACTTTTATATAAAATGAATGTTAGCTGATATAGTAATAACTATTTATAAAAGGCATACTGGATGCAGTTCAATTGGGATGTACAACTTTCAATATGATGACTAAAACCATGCTACAGAAGAATTTACAACTACTTAATACTTACTTTTGGCATTTCAAAAATGAGGGCGAAAAGAGAAAAGAGTCCTTTGTGTATCTGTCGGATTTTCCAACCATCTACAGTATAGACATGCTGCCCCAACTACTGATACAAGGGAAAGTGTCGCTAGAAATCCAAAATGTGAGACATCATTAACAATTATTGCAACTCCTAACATGATTGATTCTGCTAAACTTGCAACAGCAACCTCGGTTGTTCCGATAAGATTAGCCTTAGATGCAGGTATTCCAGTTTGTAGAATCTGTTGCCCAATGACATCATAGGACATGTGTCCCAGTCTTGACAATACCTGTGAAATAGTCAACATAAGTCTTCTTGAACTTAAGATAACAATTATCCAATTTCAGATCACCTTTACAGACTAAATCATATAAGTACCAGAGCATGCAAACGAAACTAGATGAATATAAAATTCTCATGAAGCAATCCGTCGAAAGATAAAGCACTTTCAAAAATAGCCTCTTTAAATGCAAATAAAAGGCTACTCCAGTTAGCCACAAAAAATTCTCATTTAAAGCAAAAATAACAAGAGCAGTAACTTACAACTAAAGCCAAGAAAAAGAAAACGGGAGTCTGCTGAGAAAGAGATCCACTCCAGTAGACAGCGACAGCTGTGGTCAGAAGCGAAGCCTGGAATATTAGGCCAGCAGCTCCAGCCTGATATTTTAAAATTCATGAAAGTTAGACACAGACTGTGAATGATAAGAGGACACTATTTCTGACAAGAACAAGAAACATATAAGAAGCAGAACCAACCCTTAAGATGCCAAGGTGCTTGACCATCTTTGCGGAGACAAATGTTGCCGCGACGCCCATAAAAGCACATATTCCACTGAAGCACCCGATAATAGATGGATTTAAACCTGAAATCATTACAGTGATGTTCCCTTGAGATTAAATTGGTCACTATTTTCAATTTCATTTTTTTTTTTTTTTTTTTTTGCAATGATGAGTTTCTGATATATTTTAAAGCTTTTGCAAGGAAGTGCAATCCTCATTCATCCGAGCAATTAACTACAAACTTCAGAAAGCATATAGGTCATACATGGATTACGCAAATTTCCACTTTAGTCGCAAACTTTTAAGATGGAGTGCACAACAAGACCAATGTTTACAGGATATGCCACTTAGAGTTGCAAAAAACACTATTAATAAAGCCAGCAAGCTGCTTGAATTCAAAAGGTGTTAGCACCTAATTTACAACTAAAAGACCACCGTACTGGTTGGACACACTCACAATTTCACATGAAAAATATCCCGAAAGAAACATCCCAGAAGTGGCATGTGTGCGTGTAACATAACCTAGGCGAAAACATTGTCCACTGGGTGAAACTGCCCAAGACACTACACAGAGAAAGTCACCTATGCTTGCCAACACCAAAATATTCCCACGGTGCTGTTCAGGTCAAAGGATTAGATATGATTTTTTAAGTCAACACTGCAATCACTAAGGATTTTAAAAATTAAAGCAATTAATTATTTCCTTCTTGTAATGGATAATTTTTTTATAACAGTGGTGTTCGGGCCATCTTGCACACACCTCAATTATTCCCACGAGTACCTGCTACCTCCTACCAGCACAAGCACCATGTAACTCTACTCACCAAGGCTCTTAGGCAACATAGTCTTTTCTCCCATGGTTTTACCCACATTGACCGTTAGGCCACCCCCTTGGGTCCTCTTGTAATGGATAATTTTCGTGGAACGGGTCAATATAGGAGCATTCCATCCATTCTGAGGGTAAGAGAAACCGTCTATGAGTTCATACAGCTAGTTTACTGTTAAGTGATAAGAGTTGTACAATGTCCCAAAAAGGAGTACAAAGGTCTTGAATTACTCGACCTACTGTCCTAAGCTTTCAAGTTGGATGCTCATATAAAGACCAAGCTTTGGCATACCTGTTCGCACACTCATAACTTTGCAATAAGTACACATGTCAACCCAAAATCAGTTAAACATGCATAAGGGCGTTAATAGCATTAAAGTCCACATATAAACCCCATAAGCAAGATGCACGTGTAATATCCCATATTCGATAAGATAAGGGAATCCAAAAAGATTTAAAGATGTTGTCTTAAGGTTTTGAGTCAACTCACATTCTTTCCCGATATTAAATATACATTACTACAACAGAATAGCTAGAAATAAAGATGGGGACTATCTCAAGTTATTATGGGGTAGAGCTTAGGCTACTTGTTAATAGAATATCTTATGGCATTAGAAGGACTTTGGGGCAAAATTATCATAGATCCTCATCCATACAAAAAAGTAAAATAAAAAAATGTTATAACAATCAACAGCTAAATGTTTTCAAAGGTTCCTGGTCAGTAACGACTTAATCTACAGATAAAGAAGGAACATTTCTTTTCTTTCTAAGAACATCCCTTCTATATGGTATATTAGTATCAGCATGACAAAAAGTACACTTCACAGATATGAGTATTCTCTCCAAAAATAGGATTAACTGTAATTTCTTCAAGACCTCAAGGGCTGTGACAAACCAGGATAGCTCATAAATACCATATAAATTTCAAATTGATGAAATAATAATCAACAGTTCAAACAAACAAAAGCATTGATTCTTTTTTTTGATGAAGCAAAAAAGCATTGATTCAATTCAAACTTTTATTTCTTATAGGTCCTGGTCCAACAAACCAATCCAGGTTGTCTACCCTAATGTTTGAACACTTTCTATGAGCTTGTAAATTGTTTCATGAAGTGGTAAGATTCAGCACACTGCAAGAATCAAATAGATGATCATACATCTCAAATCAGTTTTCATTTAGAGCCAAGTAAACCATCATCATATCCAAAACAACCATGCTTGGAGACAACAAGAAAGCTATCATTATGGCCAATGGTAGGTTTATTAAGTGTAGCTACATTATCAAAATCCAATTAGTGACCCCAGCAAAATCTAAAGTTGAGAATATCACGAGTCTAGAATGCAGAAATTACCTTGCTGTGTTAAGAACGCTGTCATTAAACCACCAGGTGCAAGAACAACATTGAAGTATAAAAGCACATAGGCTATGCTTGCTGGAAGAACAGGTTGTTTGACATATTCAAACCATCCATGCTTTATAGCTTCCAGACCCACTCTCACTGAAAACAAACAACAGGCTTAGTATAAAAGTAAAATCTATTTCCACCTTCATTGTAACTCAACTCAAGAGAAGATACCTATATTTTCAGATTCTAGTAAAGACCGCTCGGAGGAACAACTGCAACAAGTTTGCACAGCACGGTTGAGAACCCCAGAAGAAAGCTTGTTGGTTAGCCATGTCAGAGATACCTAGTAAAAAAGGTGATAACATCTAAGTGCTATACAGTGTTCTAAACTTCAAATCACAGAATGAAATAGAACCAGGACTAAGATTTACCAAAACAGGAAGTGCCCCAATCATCAAACCGGCAGCAATTTTTAAGCATACAACTGGTTCATATTTAGACAGAAGAATGCCAAACAATGCCGCTCCAGCAATCTACAATTATCCCAAAAAGAGAGAGCTATAAGATAAATCATAAAAGACCAAATTTAGCTTAAATGACAATCACGGCAAATTTCAAGTAAAGTTTGTTTTATAAACTTAACTCAATAGAAATAAAATATCAATACATCTGAATATATTTGTTTAGATCATTCATAATCGTTATGCTGCAAAAGAGGGGGAAATACTGTCATTGAAGTGCCTATTACCTCGCATAAGAGGTCAATACGGCTTAGAATAGCATTTGCTTGAGCAAGAGCAACTGGGCGATTAGTTCCAGCTAACTGTAAAAACAAGACTCAAAATTAGGAAACTGCTCAAGCACCGATAAGCTAAGTTGCTCGGACACGGGTGCGAAGTTGCTCGGACACGGGTGCGAAGTTGTTCGGACACGGGTGCGGGTGCCCGACACGGGTGCAAATCTAGAGGTCGGATCTTTCGAGATGTAAATTCTAAGATTCGGAAATACGGACCCTAGTACGGATATGGGTGCAGGGATCCGGCTAAAAATAATTCAAAAAAATAAAATAAAATAAAATAAAAGATCTCTAAATTATGAGAAATTTTATAGAATACTTACGTATAGCTTGTAAAGTGTGAATTTTTTTTATTCTCCAGTTGTAGATAAGTAAAGGATTGATTTCCTAGATAAGGTATGCTATTTTCTTCAAATCTACCCTAGTTTTGGTTCTGATTCCGGGAATCAAATTGTATCTCGTCTCGAATTTTTCCGTCCGCCGTGGTTAAAGTACCCAAAATTGTTGGACCAGATCCGGTACGGATCCCATACCCACACCCATACTAGTGTCGTGTCGACATGGGTGCGGCACCTAAACTGCCGTGTCGGAGCAACTTAGCCGATAAGTAGTCAAAAAGTGAGACATAGTTGACAAAACAAAGTTCAAACAGCAGTACCAAAACAACCCAATCACGCTCCACTGCGACCCCCAATGCCAACCCAGATAGCCTCTCAACAGCTCCCGCTAGAACAAGCACAACAAACCAAGGACGGAAAAGTAAAGATGATGCAGATGTTGGATGAAGAGTGTGACCATGTATAATCATTCCAACAGACACCAACTGGGCAGCTGTCTGACAGAAAAGAAGTATTAGAAAACTTTCAGGAAAAAGTTTTGCATACACCATTTCTTAGCGACACACCCCGAAAAGGATACCTGGACTATAGATAGACAATTATATGCAGGTACCCTCGGAAAGTGATCCATAAGCTTGCCAACCAGAGGACCTCCACCAATTACAGCAAGCTGTACAAAGTATAGCAGGATGTAAGGTAAATAATTATCTTCAAGCCTTTAGTCTTCCTGTAACTTCTATTCAAGTCCTGCTCTTTTTCAAACCTCTTTCGCACCTTGATACATTTCTATTAATAGAACATCTTACCTTATCCAAAAAAGTAAAAAAGTTAATACCTTAGCAACGAAAGCCATTAGTGCTACAGGAAGAAGACTAGGATGAATCAATGCAATAGCAGCAGGCGAGGCAAAATTCCATAGTTGTTCCACCAAATTCCCAGCCAGGCAACTAGCATATAAAGCTGTTCGAATGCACTTGACATCAGAAATCTATAAAATGATCAGAGATTACCGGCATAATTCGACTAATCATTAACTGGTCATGTTTTCAAAGTCAAACTACTTATCAAACAAATTGCCCTGGTGATGTGCCAGAGGG